TCCTAAAGGTAGTTTTCCTGGATGAAACATCGCTCAACATAATCAAGGCTGTATTCAAAAAATCCACAGCTGACATCATTCTAAATGGAGAAAAACTGGAAGCATTCCCATTAAACCAAGACAAGGATGTCCACTATCTCCACTCCTCTTCAACATAGTGCTTGAAACTCTTTCTAGAGAAATAAAATTAAAGGAGTACTAATTGGAAAAGAAGAGGTCAAACTATCACTTTTTGCAGATGATATGATACTATACCTAAGAGATCCCAAAAGTTCCAACTGATCAACACTTTCAGTATAGTGGCATGTTATAAAAATCAATCTACAAAAATCAGTAGCCTTTCTATATACCAATAACAAGCAACTGGAGAAAAAAATACAGAGAAATGCTCCCATTCACAATAGCTGCAAAAACAAAAATTTATCTTGAAATAAATCTGACCAAAGACAACAAAGATCTCTACAATGAAATTTTTTAAATCATTAAAGAAAGAGATTGAGGAAGACACCAGAAGATGGAAGGAACTCCCATGCTCATGGATTGGAAGAATTAATATTGTGAAAATGACCATCCTACCAAAAGCAATATATAGATTCAGTGCAATCCCAATCAAAATCCCCATGACATACTTCACAGAATTAGAAAAAAAATCCTTAAATTCATATGGAAGCACAAAATACCCCAGATAGCCAAAGCAACTCTGAGCACAAAGTGCAGCACTGGGGAGATTACTATACTAGATCTCAAACTATACTACAGAGCCATAGTCATAAAAACAGCATGGTACTGGCACAAAAACAGACACATAGATCAACGGAATATTATTGAAGGTCCAAACCTGAGTAAACGCAATTTCAGTCACCTGATATTTGTAAAAGGTGCCAAGAATACATAATGGATGAAAGACAGCATCTTCAACAAATGGTTCTGGCAAAACTGGATCTCCACCTGTAGAAGAATGCAACTAGAACCTTATCTTTTGCCTCACACAAAAGTCAACTCCAAATGGATCAAAGACCTAAATGTGAAACTGGAAACCCTGAAACTATTAGAAGAAAATATTGGCAGTAACTTACAGGATATAGGTGTAGGAAAGGGTTTTCTAAATTGGACAGAAGTTGCTCAGGAACTTCCAAAAACTATAAAGCTTCTGTACAGCAAAAGAAACAATCAAAAAAGTGAAGAGAAAACCCACAGAATGGGAAAAAACTTCACCAGTGACACATCTGACAGAGGTTTAACATCCAGAATATATATAAAGAACTCAAAAAAACAAAGACTTGAGAAATCAAATGACCCAATTAAAAGATGGGCTAAAGATCTAAACAGAGAGCTCTCAAAGGAAGAAATAAAGGTGGCTAAGAAACATCTCAAAAAGTGTTCAACATCATTAGTAACTAGGGAAATGCAAATTAAAACCACCCTAAGGTAACACTTTACCCCAATCAGACTGGCTAGGATCAAGAAAACACATGATACCAAATGCTGGTGAGAATGTGGAGAAAGGAGACTGTTCATCCACTGCCGGTGGGAATGCAAACCTGTGCAACCTCTATGGAAAACGGTGTGGAGAACTCTTAAAAAAACTAAAAATGAACCTATCATATGACCCCACTTGTACCACTCCTTGTCATATACCTGAAGAACTCATCCTATTGCAGAGACACTTGTTCATACATGTTTGTTGCTGCCCTTTTTACAATAGCTAAGAGATGGAAGCAGCCTAAGTGGTCCTCAACTGACGAGTGGATAATGAAAATGCGGTTCATTTATACAATGGAGTTTAACTCAGCAGTAAAGAAAGATTAAATCATGAAATCTGCAGATAAATGGATGGAACTAGAAACTTATAGTAAAAGAAGTAACACAGACTCAGAAAAAAAAAAGGTGCATGTTCTCCCTCCTATGTGGATCCTAGCTCCAAATCCTGATAAGTGAGTATCTATCCAGACATAACTACAGGAGGATAATGAAGAGGAACCAGGGAGGTAAAGGAAAAGAAAGAATCTGAAAGAGAAGAACAGTAGGAAGCAGGTGTTAGTAAGGAAGATATGGATAAAAATGGGGGTTGTGCTCATTCATTAAAGGAGGGCCAAGCAGGGTCATTGGACCTCACCACATTATCCAGCCACTCTTCCCAGCCAACTGAATCTAATTTGACCCTAATCACATATTGCTGGATTTGGTGAGGGCTAAATTATACAATCTGGGGAAGGCTAGGAAGAGAAGGCTTGACCCATGCTGGGTAAAGGCTTTCCAATGTGCATACCCTCAGGTCATACTTGTAATGCTAATTACTCTTGCCTCTACTTCTCCTTCACATCTATTCATGATTCAAAGACTTTCTTTTCCTCCTTGAGATAAGAGTTATGCAATTTGGAAGTCTTTTAGAGCCACTGAAGGGGTATTCCAATTGCCTCACCCGTCTCTGTTCAGCACAGAAGAAGCCAAAGTGGTCTGTATCCTGTTTCCCTATTGGCAATTTGGGTAACTTCTTCAGAGGATAGTGTGATAAGAATAGGAGATAGGAATTAGCTAGGCAATTAGGATAAAAAGACCCCAAAGAAAAGTAGCCAGTTTCTTGGCCAAAACTCACAATGTCCTTGGGCCTCTTAGCAACGTACTCCATTCCAAAGGCCAAAAACGTCGAAAATATTTGGGAGCTTTTATCTAATCCTTAAAAGATTTTAGGGTTACCTCTTCAGAGGGGGGAATGTTAGAGTAGCCAAAAGCACCATAAGAAAAAAATAAAGAAGAGTACATGAAGTTATGAGAAAAAAGTGATGGGGCGATATGGGAGGAATTGGAGGGGAGGGAGTGGGCATGGATTTGACCTTATATGCAAGTATGAAATTCTCAATAAGTTATTTATTTATTTTTTTAAAAAGTAGCTATTGCTTAAGGACTGCACCAGCCACCAGAAGGGTAAAGACCAACAAAAGCTTCTAAGAAGATTTATCCCTTTTAGAGATGCTTCTTGTCCCAAAACACAATAGAACAGGTGCCAAACATTTTGCATAGGGCCTCGTTTACTTACTTCAGCTAAAATGTAGTAAGTCAGAAATAAGCGAGCACAGGACGGTCACCTAGAAAACATGGAAATGAATAGGAAATGAAAACGTGAAGATGCAACCAAGAAAGCTTGCCTCCTTGTCAAGCAGTTCTTTCCAATCCTTAAGCGCTTCCTTGAGTGATGCTTGTGTCCTGGATCCATTACCTGTGGCTAGGATCAAGTAATTTTCCTAATCCCTCAAATCGCACAGGGAATCGAAAATGTTTTCTTTCTCCCTCCAGGTGCTACCCCCAAACACAGGCTGCCTTTATATTGATAAAGACTGTTCAGCCACCTACTGCCATGAATCAAGGAGTAATATCTACCATCCCTTCCAAAAGCGTGAGCAGCTAAGAGCCAGTAGGTACATCATGAAGCACACAACAGAGGTGATCTGTGAGGTCCTGGATCCTGAGGGAAACACCTTTCAGGTAAAGGGCAGCGTCAGTGCAGAGAGAGAGCCTGGCTTAGTTTTGAGATACATCAGGTTCCATGTAGATTTTTATTTTTGTGCTATTGGGGTTACTTGTCCACTCTGCCCAGCAGTCATGAATGTCAGTATCTTTTCTTTGATTCTCAAATGTACTTTCACAAGGAAGGGCAATCCTAGTAACTGGGATAGTAGAAATAGTAAAGCTAATAGATAACTAGAAAGAAATATTTGTGGACACCGAAAAATAATGCAATGCAGCCACAGAGGATGATGTCAGGATGGCCTGTCCCAGGTTAAAGTGAGAGTAAATGCAGGCATCCAGCACCTGATGGCACTAGGTGCCATAGTGAGACATGTCCGGCAGAGCTGATGATGGGTACAAGAGGGTCTGGAAAGCACTTGGTCTGTGCTATGGAGTGTTCTACTTGCCTGCCAACACCATGACTGTCCCTTTACCCCCGTCCATGAACTGGCAGTTGGTCCTCTATTCTATGTAGCTAATGACCTAAGAAAATGTTTTTTACATTTTAAATGTTTAAAAAGTCTAAAGAAGAATATTTTATGTCACAGACAATATGTTTTCATTTGCTGCTTCTCTTTGCTTTTGCTCCACAATGGAAGGGCTGGGTAGCCCCAATGGAGAATGTGTGGCTTGCAGATCCTGAAATTCTCACTTCTGGCCCTTGACCAAAAAACATTGCCAACCCCTACTCTAGGCATTTATCCTTTTTTTTTTTTTTCACTCCTCACCCAAAAGTGGAATTTCCTCCATTGGCAAGTGGGTGTGAAATTATTTTTTAAATTGGACTCAGACCACAGAATCCTAAACTTTGTTTTGGTATGCAGACAGCTCCTGGACCAGCAGTTTTCTTTGCTGAGTAACTGAGACGTCACAGCATGAGTTTGGACTGACAAATTTCAGTTGACAATGAATAGAAATGGAAACATAAAGCTCTCCAGGTTGAAATGTCAGGGGTGTCCCTGCCAAGCATGTTTTGAGGCGCTGACACCCCTTTAGGGCAGCATAGCCTGCAGTCATTGGTCAGCCAGCGCCTCGCTCCTTCCTGGAGAGATGTGTGCCAGATCTAGAAAGCAGTTGTAACAAGAACCTTGCCTCTCATGTGAATTCTAAATCTGTTTCTCTGTGTGCTCCACCCGTGAACCTCAGTTCTCAGTTGTATAAATCTCAGTTTTCTGGGTGGTTTTTTCAGTATTTTAAGGCAGCTATTTATGAGTGCCCTTTCTTTTATGTTCCATTTCTCCATTCTTTGAACTGATCCCCATGGGCTAAGATTTTGGAGTCTTCTGATCCACGTCACTTTCATCTGACTGTGTTTCAGTGTGTCTTCGCAGTCTGTGTGTGGTTTATGAATAGGCTCGTGTTGCTAGGTTACCTTTACTTTTATTGATAAAGTTCACACTTGAATAACAAGACCTTGTAAATAAACATGCTTGATTTTCTGAGTAACCCAAAAGAGCATCTTCTCACTTGTTCTGGATCCGTGGGAGCTCAGGCACCGTGGCATCTTATTTTTCCTTTGGTTGCTTACATGCCTTGTCTCTTAGGTCATGGCCGATGGGACTGCATCAACTATGCTACCTGAAAAAAAAGTGGAAGATGATTTCAATGAAAAAACTGAGGGCTATGATAGTTTATCATCAGTTCACCTTGAAAAGAATCATATGCAAATCTATGGTGAACATGTTCCCAGGTAAAATGATAACACTAACCACATTATGACTGATTTTTTTCCATTCCAATATCAAGAAGCATAAAGTTTTAGCTAGGCGTGGTGGCACACACCCTTAATACCAGCACTTGGGAGGCAGGGGCAGGTGGATCTCTGTGAAGTTGAAGCCAGTCTGGCCCACATAGTGAGTTCCAGGCCACCTGGGGCTACAAGGAGACCCTGTCTCGAAACAAGCAAACAAACAAAAAGAAGCATCTTGACTGAGTGTCTGAAATAGTCCACCATTTATTTCTTCAAACAGGTTTTTCGTTGTCTATGCTGATGGATCAGGAGTGGAACTTCTCCGAGACAGTGACATAGAAGAATATTTATCCTTGGCCTATGCAGAATCAACTACTGTGGTTCTCCAGGACCCCGTGCAAGAACACCCAGGTAGAGGCCCCATGCTGCCAGGAGCACCCTGCGTCGTCCCCCAGCTCTCCTCCTCCTACCCCCAGTCCCTGCTCCTGCTGCCTTCTCCGCCATTCCCCCTTTGCTCACTGCTACTCCACTATGTCATCTTATTTATATAGCCGCTCCATCTTATGTTCATCTCAAGCTGCCTATGAGCATCAACCTGTGGAAACTGAGGATGAATTCCTGTCCTGTCATAAGCAGATTTGTGCCTAGGTTCTTACTAATGAGTTAATTTCACCCTGTTTAGGAACAGTAGCGATTCCTTGTAAGTTCTTTTTTGTTGTTGTCTTTTTTAAAGGTGATGCCTTGGTCAAATTGAGTACAATAAGAAAATACATTTTGAAGTGTTTATCAGTTGGTCAGCCTTGCAGGAAATTCAGCTCTGGATGCAGGAGTTGTTCCTAGGAACTTTCTTTCACACATCCCCCGGTTGGCCAAGCACCGCATTTTGTGAATGCAGGAGCCACATGTTATTTATTCCCAGGTCATTGCTAGGAAGACTCATTCCTAGAATCTGATGTAGATGAGGCTCAGTTGTAGGTGAGACAGCAGTCTTCAGGAGAGAGGAATAGCTAGCTGGTAGAGCCAATAAGAAAGAAACTCCTGGATCATATCAAAACTCTTAGCCATCATGATCCAGATCTGACTTTTTTCTCTCTTTTGTCCTTTATATCTGGCATAACATTTGTATGTGATATATGATGGAATGATTATACCTAAAATAAAACAATCAAGAACATTGCTCCATCTAATGGAGTAATTGTATCTGATTAAGGCCATAAACATTAAAGTAAAAATGAGGGCTGGAGCGAGGACTCAGCAGTTAAGAGCATCTGCTGCTCTTGCAGAGGACCCAGCTTCAATTCCCAGTATCCACATGGCAACTAACAAAACTCTATAACTCCAGTTCCAGGGAAACCTGATGCTCTCTTCTAACCTTCACCGGCATTGCAGGACAAGGGTGCACTTACTTGCATGCAGGCAATACACTCATACACATAAAAAAATGAAAATAAAATAAAAATGAGATTGACTATGTTTCCTCCGGTATTTACAGTTATCTGTACTCTATAAACTATTTTATTTATATTTGGAATATTTACCAAGTCCATTGTTTTTTAATGTTTGGTTTTTCTATGGATCAGTTAGACCTTATAGTTATAACCTCATAGAGTGACTACTTCTAACTCTAATTCTTATCTGTGGATAATGACTTCACCTGATTTATTATAAAAGTATCATACCAAATTTTGTTTGAAAACTAAATGAAACATAGAAGACACTAAACTTTTTTCTAACAAGAATGTCTTCATTTACATAACAAATATTAATAACATTAATAGAAACAAGAGCTCAAACCTGTTAGAAAATCAGATTTTTATAGACCTTGAAGGTTTAACTGACTGAGTAACACTTTAATGACTGTGGAGAATTAGAAATGTTGCAGATCCAGAGCCTATTCACAAAATTATCTGGGAACATCTCTAACCCCATAAACAGCCACACCTTTCCTACCTCTGTTTCTGAATTAGCATTCTTGTGACTAATAAAATGTATTAACTTAGCAGACCACAAGGTCCCACCAATCAAAAAGCTAAGAATGTCATCAGATAGCATCTGAAACCAATAGTAGAAAACCCCTCACTTTTCCATAACCTGCCTAGAGAATGTATCCACCAATATATTTGAAAAGTATCTTGATTTATGACTTTTCTTTGTTCTGTTACTATAAAAATGTAACTGTTACCATGCTGGAACATGGAATTTGGGGTAACCTGAATCTGTGTTCCCAGGCCATGGTCACTCATATTTGGCTCCAGAATAAACTCTTATCACCTTTGAAAAATAGAGAGAGAAAAAATACATTTCATGTGTCAGTTAAACTGCCAATTTGAGCTATATAACTTATATAAACTATCATTGGGAATTTGCATGACCTTCAGTTTCAAAGAAATCAGTTGATAAAATTAAAAACACATACTTTGATGTGCTATATATAGGTTTATATGTTTCTTTTACTCTTTTGTTTGATCATATATATATCTGACTTTTAGTACTAGTTTTTTGAGACAGAGTCTTGCTATGTAGCGCAGGCTGACTTCAAACTTGTATCAGTCTCCTGAGTTCAGGGGTTACAGGCATGTACTGCCATGCCTGCCTTCCTCACATAGCTCTCCTCACATACTACATAGTTATTCAGAGCCCCATAGTCTCCACATTCACAGGAACAAAGCACATAACATTGTCTATGTGTGTGTTGCTATACTAAAAGATTTAAGTACTGACAAACAAGCATACTCATAAATATACTCAAAATACATACTATTGGGCTGGGTGTGATGGAGCACGCCTTTAATCCCAGCACTTGGGAGGCAGAAGCTCTGTGAGTTCAAGGTCAGCCTGGTTTGCGTAGTGAGTTCCAGGCCAGCTGGGACTACAAGGAGACGCTGTCTCAAAAAACAAACAAAAAACCTCTAACAAGAAACCTCATGTCTAAAAAGCCTCTCAGACCTCTCTGAAGGCATTTGATCCAAGAGCTTGTTGGTATATTCAGATAGGAGGGAGAGCTGTCTTATAGAAAGGAAAACAAAGAATCAGAAAGAATCAACTGGGTTGGGAAAGTCAACGGGGTTGAAGCCAAAAAAGAGTTTTGATCATTGATGACTATAACCACTCAGTCAGCATGGCTGTCGGAGAGGCTTACTCCCAGAGCACACATGGTTAGAAAAGCTGGCTGTGGCTGTAGTCCAGGACAGACTTTTTCTGAGGCAGATGATATAATGCAGGGTCTGTAGAGAAGGCAGAAGTAGATGGACTCAAGTCAGTTTTTTGGTAGACCTGACAGGACTCAAATACTGTTAAGGGACAGAGAGGTGCCAATAAATGCTTCTCAGTGATTTGAATCAGTTTTTAGGTCTTGAGTAACAGTCTCATCCCATTAGACTGTAAGGCCTTTTCCACATAATCACTGTACCTGACTAACATTTTAGGGTAAAAAGGCAGTTCAAAAGTGATTATTGAGGGGGTTGGAGAGATGGCTCAGAGGTTAAGAGCACTGACTACTCTTCCAGAGGACCCAGGTTAGAGTCCCAGCACCCACATAGTCGCTAACAACCATCCTTAACTCTAGTTCCAGGGCATCTGACACCTTCTTCTGACCTCCGCCGGCACAGCATGACACAGGTACACTTACACACATACAGGCAATGCACTCATACACATAGAATAAAAACAATAAATTTTAAAAGTGGTTGTTGAATTTAGTTATTGCCTGTTGAATTTATCAGAATTGTTTTGGTAGAAAAATAACCTCTGATAACTCTTTGATCCAGGTGCCCTGAGCATCACAGTCCTTCGCCCTTTCCATGAAGCATCACCATGGCTGATGAAGAAGGAGTTGGATACCATTGTTCCTCCTAATCTCCAGTCAAGGTCTTGGGAAAAGTTTCCTCCAGTTGAGGTATATATTCTCTACATATTCATCCATCAGTGGCCCGAAGGCTCATATTTTCTACCATATATTTTTTTTTTGGTGGATTCAATGAACTTTATTGATGATGTTCAAGAGAATAAGGCTACCTAAGATCCTCCTTTTCTTCTGGGATGGAAACTATAAAGAGAGATACTAAGTGTAGGGGACTGAGTTTGGTCAGAGACTCCCCAGCCAGGAGCCTCTCTCTTCCTCTTGCTGGGGTTGGTGGTCCAGGGCTTCTTACTCCTTGGAGGCCATGTGAACTATGAAGTTCACTACCCTGTTTATGTAGCCAAATTTGTTGTCATGCCAGTGATCCTTGAGGGCAATGCCAGTCCCACTATCAAAGGTAGAAGAGTGGGTGTTACTGTTAAAGTTATGGGATGGCCTGGTCCTCAATATAGCCCCTTTAGAGGGCCCTCCAATGCCTGTTTCACCACATTCTTGATGTCATGGTATTTAGCAGCTTTCTCCAGGCAGCAGGGAGATCCATGAAGGCACATTGAGCCACCACAGAAGTCCGTGCCAGTGAGTTTTCCATTCAGCTCTGGGATGACCTTGCCTACAGGCTTGGCAACACCAGTGGATGCAGCAATGTCCTGGGCAGTCCCACAACCATCACACTGCAGTTCCTGGATGAGCCATCCACAGTTTTCTGGGTGTCTGTGATGGCATGGACTATGGTCATGAATCCCTCAGTGATGCTGAAGTTATCGTGTATGAGCTTGGCCAGGGGGCTAAGCAGTTTGTGATACAAGAGGCGTTGCTGACAATCTTGAGAAAGTTGTCATATTTCTTATGGTTCACACCCATCACAAACATGGGGCATCTGCAGAAGGGGCATCAATGACAACCCTTTTAGCTCCACCCTTCAAGTGGGCCCTGACCTTCTCCATGGTAGTGAAGACACCAGTAAACTCCACAACATACTCAGCACCAGCATCACCCATTTGATGTTGGTAGGATCTCTCTCCTGGAAGATGGAGATGGCCTTCCCATTGATGACAAGTGTCTTGTTCTAGTCTTGACTGTGCTGTGAACTTGCCATGGGTAAAGTCATACTGGATCATGTAGGCCATGTACTTGAGGTTAATGAAGGGGTCAGTGATGGGAATTTATCCACTTTGCCAGAAGTGAAGGCAGCCCTGGTGACCAGGTTCCCAGTGCAGGGAAATCTGCTCACTCTGACCTTCACCATCATGTCTCAGGGACGAGGCCGGCACTGCACAAGGAGAGGTGGTGGTCTCTGGAATGGGGAGAAGCAGAGAGCCTCTCCCATATATTTATGTGTTTTTATCCCTTTGCAAATTGTTAATGAATGTGCTCAAGGAGTTTTATAATTTAAGGTTTTTAACATTTGTAGATGTGGCAATAGAATTTTAGAGTCCCATGACTGGTTATCTACTTTCAGTTTTATTTTTATTCCATGTAGCAAGCTTGAACATATTGCTATAATAACAACATGTCCTTTCTGAGTAACCCTTTACATGTCATGTCTCGTGGAATTACTGACACCATATTTTTCTCCCCATCATTTCTCACTCGTTCATTTTAAAACAAAAATTTAGGTATTTCACGCGCCACAATTTTCTTCATATATTAAAAATTTACAGATTCATCATCAGGTGAAGGATTATGCATGAATTTTGCAACTACAATGTTAGAAAGTAAATACTGTGATTTTTGTCAGGTTGGTGAAACTCCACCCTAAAGTTTCTAAAGAATGAAGAAAATGTCTTGTGCAAGCATCACAAAACCCTACATCTTGCAACTTTTACCATATTATTCTCCAGCTTCTTTATTTTTAATACTTTATTTATTTTTATTTTATGTGTATGAGTATATAGCCTGCATGCGTGTAAGTACACTGTGTCATGCAATGCTGGCAGAGATGGGAAGAAAGCACTGGATTCCCCTGGAACTGGAGTTATGGCCAGTTGTTAGCACCATGTGGGTCCTGGGAATCGAACCCAGGTCTTCTGCAAGAGCAACCAGTGCTCTTAACCACTGAGCCATCTCTCCAGACCCTGCAACCACTTTGTGTAACATGTCCAGCTTCTCATAAGGTGTTCAGTTGTTAAATCCATGAAGTCATCAAGAATGTGATCAGGGAGCACTGGCAGTGTTGAATGTGGAAGGTAATATCTTGGAGTTTTTAATTGCAGTTCCCTACAGTTAATCCTATTCTAGCAAGAGCAGAGATGATGAACTTAAGATAACAAAGACCTTTGCTTTAATTTGGTGACTGTAATCAAATTGATGAGAAGAAGGTGGCCACAAATTCATGTCCTGATCTACTATTATTGTGAGATTTGGAGCAGGTTATGCTGGACCACAATATTGTTCTTTGAAAGTGAAAAGGTCAAAAGCTAAAGGCACTATGTGATGACGAGAAACATATGCTCCATTTGGGATTAAAGAAGACTATTCTTTGCCTCTGAAACTCTTATTCTATAAACCAAAAGCCACCAGTGGCTGTTACTGGCCACAAAGTAACAGCAAAGCACACTAGTCCAGAAAACCAATTACAAGGGTGAATTGGAGATATGAGTTCACTCTAAATCAGGCATCCCTTCCTGAGAGGACTCTGCTTCATCTCAAAAATGTCCCAGATCTGTGGTATGACTTTGCTTTTCAAATCTTCTCGGTATAAAATTAACACAGAACCAGAAATGTAAAGATTACTATTCCAAATGTCTTAAGTAACCTGAGGATGTTAAACATAGTCACACACTTGAGTCGTGAATGAGACTATTGCTGTTTTACTGTGTGCAGAAGTGCTTAGGTCTTCCAAAATGATACTCAGTGGGGCACCATGTGATGGGCTCTTAGAAACACACGTTAAGAGGAAACTTTACTGAGGCTCGTGAGGGTGGCAACTTTTCCAGCACCATTTCATTCCTCACAAGTGTGTCTGTGACAGGTTCTGCTTTTGCTAAAAGGACTAACACTTCATTGGTCCTTCAGATGCCCGGTGGGTAACTAAAAGCTAGATGAAAGTTTGACATTTCTGCCTTCATTCCATATCTGTCTCCCTGCTACCTTAAATTTGAGTAGCATTGCTACCCAACTCTTCATGTAACCATGGTAATCATGTAAGGATCTTTCATCTAAAACTGGCACTCCTTAGGCTAGAAGGACTAACATAAGAATAACTAAGATATATGTGACATTTGCCAAAACACCATGCTGAGCAGACTGTCAGTCACAGGTTTACCACGTCTTTGTCCTAGTTTGCTTTAATTATCAAATGGACACAGCCTAGGGTCACCTGAGAGGAAAGCCTCAGTGAGAAATTCCCTGCATCAGATTGGCCTGTGGGCATGTCTGTAGGGGATTGTCTTTGATTATTAATTGATGCAAAACGCCCAGCCACTGTGGACAGCACCATCCCTAGGCAGGTGGTCCTGTGCCGTCTGAGAAAGCTAGCCAAGGATGAGCCTGTGCATAAGCAAGCGTGAGCGTGAGCAGCAAGTCATGCTCCATGGTGCCCCCTGCAGGTTTCTGATTGAGCTCCTGCCCTGACTTCCCTCAGTGACGGATTGTGACCTGGAAGTGTGAGCCAAATAAACCCTTTCCTCCCCCAAGTTGCTTTTGGTTTGAGTGTTTTATCACATCAACAGAATGAATCTAAAAGATTCCTTTTCCAGACCACTAGAAGAGCACCTAGAAGCCTCCAGACTTTCTCCTGTACCTCACTCCACCTCGCCTGGCTTGTGCTTTGCTTTGGCCTTTCTCTCCTGCAGTCATTCTGGATTCCAGGAATAACTCAGAGCAGGAGTGTCCAGTGATGAGTGGAAACTACTGGCAGGAGCAACTTTCTTACTGTCTACAAAGCTCTACCTGGCTGATCCTGAGAGGATGACCAACCAGACGTCACTTTGAGCAAGACTGCTTGATGATGCGTAGACACTTCTGCTCCCCTTCTTTTGCTCCTTCCGTTATATAACCCTAAAGCTCCTCTTCGTTCCTTGAAGATGAGGCTTAGGATGCTAGTCTCCATACCTCCCAGCATGGCCACACTGAAGAATAAATCTCTTCCCTGTTTTACCATTACTTGTTTTCACTTGGATTTTTGGTTGAGTGGTCAGACCTGCTCTGTTTGGACTCCTCAAAGTCAGGTCCCCAATGTTTTAGGAGGCCCATAAACATTCCTGGTGTTGTATCTACATAGTAGGTATTCATTTAAGGGTGAACTACTCAGTATTTCATTTTTAATGCATTCTGGCTTCTTTGGTGAATGTTTTACTTTGTTTCCTTGACAGAAAAAGACTCCAGGACCTCCGTTTGGCACTCAGATCTGGAAGGGCCTCTGCATTGGGTCTAAACAGTTAACGAGTGCCCCAGCCCCTATACTCAAGGACCCCAAGGTGCTACAGATGCGCCAGTTCATCCAGCATGAGGTCATAAAGAATGAGGTGAAACTGAGGTTGCAGACTTCTCTTAAGGTAACAGAATCCAGATAACCTGATCTCCAAAGGATCAGGAACAAGGCAAATCACTCCAGTCAGTTTCCTAAGGAACCTGAAGTTATCTGGTTCTACCAATACTTAGTGAACCGCTTGAATGTCAGTCACCCAGAACAGAAGTAAGATGGAGGAATCATTAAGAAGGCCAAAAGAAGCCCAGCATGGTGGCACAAGCCTTTAATCCCAGCACTCGGGAGGCAGAGGCAGGAAGATCTCTGGGAGTTCAAGGCCAGCCTGGTCTCCATAGTGAATCCAGGCCAGCTGGGTCTACAGGGAGACCCTGTCTCCAAAACAAAAAAAGAGGGCCAAAAGGTGTTGATATGGTTAAAAAAATTTTGATATGTAATTTTTTAATGTTTTATTATTTTTATTTTATTACATACACCTGTATTGCCTGCATGTAGGGAAGTGCACCCATGTCATGCAATGCCCACGGAGGACAGAAGAGGTTGTCGGATCCCCTGGAACTGGAGTTACGGACAGTTGTTAGCGGCCATGTGGGTGCTGGGATTCAAACCCGGGTCTTCTGCAAGAACAGCCAGTGTTCTTAACTGCTGATACGTAATTTTTATACAGCCTTTTTTTCCTACTACAGGGGAAATCAGTGACTTTTGTAGAAAACATAGAACCACGTGTTAATCTGATATTTGTTCTTGGATGAACACATTTGTTGCTTTAGAAATGGTCTAATAATTTTTGAATATTTGGTTTAGTATATGGTCATATATATAACACCTTTCTAAGTTTCTAACTCCCTCAGAACAAAAATTATATATATTTCGTTTATGGTTGTATTCCCAGAACTGGCATAAAGATCAGTATCTATGCATGTGAATCAAATATTCATGAGGGGAAAAAGTATGTTTCTCCTAGAACCAGAGGCATGGACTGAGTAATTCATGTCCATAGATGGAATCATAGAGACCTTATTTGAAAGCTCCTAGGCACCATCTAACTCAGTTTACCTATTTTAGTGAGAAGGGCATCAAGGTGCCAAATTAGAAGCAGGACCTCTCCAAGGTCCTTGTGCAGGTCTCTCCTGTGGCATTAAAGCTTTGCTTGTGAACAGCTCCAGTCTTTGCTTATTGTCCGCTTTGCTTATTGTCCGACTGAGAAGGAGCCTTTCCAGATTGCTAGACTAGTGGCCTATGAACTTGTCTACTCTCAGTCTCTTTGCAATGTTTCAAATTGATATTGACTGTGTTGGTGTCTTGCTCTGTCCCATTCTTGATTTTTATCTATTTGCTTCATTCTACTGATTTAGGATTATATAAACCATATTCTAAAGAAAGAAGATGAGCTGCAGGAAATGACAGTGAAGGACTCCAGAACTGAGGAGGAGCGGGGCAATGCTGCGGATCTCCTCAGGCTAGTTACGGTGAGAAACTGCCCTACAGCCAGTGTTCTTACTGCTGGCTCTCTGTTAGATGCTTCCAGAAGAAAATCCACATGGATTGCCACATGAGATTTCTGCCACTTCTGTGGAGCATTTGCTTCAAACTTACCATTGTTTATTTCTGTGGAAATTGTATTATTAGTTGTTGGACTTTCCAAATGTATCTTCCTTTGATTCTTCCTTTGAGGAGAGATGATTCCGAAGATCCTCAAATAAAAGGCATGTCTTTTTAATAAAGTTATGGTTATTGAAATATTGAATAAATGAATGAATGTAAAAGGAAAAAGAAAAGTAATTTTTCTATAACAAAATGATTTCCATTTTTAGAAAGTTGTTACATAAAAGAAATGATAAAACATTCTAATAAATTGTATATTAGTATTAAAAGCTAACTCACTTTTAATTATTTCCATAAAGAATCAAATGGAGCACATAAAGAATGCTTCTAAACAAAGTATATTTTGTGTGCGATATAATTATCATCAAGTAATTCTGATCTTCATTCCAGTCTTTCCCTAAAATGGAGGAAACTACAAAAAGTCACGCTACTGAAGGTAACTAGTATTTAATATTTTTATGCGCTGTATCTACCTTGTACTATTCCAAACTACATGTAACACAAACAGCTTACTCTTATATTGAGTTCTTCATTGATTCCAACAAGATTAGTCCTATAATTTCATAGTCTACAACAAAAACATTGAAAAGTTTGGTGAAGTTTTGTTTTTATCTATATGAAAAATTTCCTAAATTGCCAGTCATCAGCTTCATTAAGCCCTCAGACAAGTTGTATGTATATATCCTCCACAATGTTGGCTTATACACTTTTTTTTATGGTTTTGTTGTTGTTGTTTGTCTAGATTTTTCTCTTCTTAAAATTTCATATTGTCACGTAGTGACATTTGACTGAAAGTGATTGGCAGCTACCCCTTTGGATGACAGTATGGAAGACACCATCACAAACCCCAGTGTTCATACTAAGCTCTTGTTATTCCTTCACTGTGTGGCCCCTGCAGTAGAGTTGCCAATGAATACAAATGCAAAAGGCCTTGTTAAAACTGATTTTAGGCTGGTTATGGTGGCACACACTTTTAAATCCCAGCACTCAAGAGGTAGAGATAGGCAGATCTCTGTGAGTTCGAGGCCACCCTGGTCTATGTAGTAAGTTCTAGACCAACCAAGGAAGGCTGCACAGTGGCACAGTGAGACCCTGTCTCTTTCTCTCTCTCTCTCTCTCTCTCTCTCTCTCTCTCTCTCTCTCTCTCTCTCTCTTTCTCTACCTATATGTATACATATGTATGTATATACTGAATTTTAGATAAATAACAAATAACAATTATTACATTATTATGAATGTGTCCCAAATGTAGCATGGTGCTTACTTATACTAAAAAATGTGTTTATCTGAAATTCAAATTTAATTTGCCCTATATTTGATCTTACAAACTTACCTTGTGTCATCTGAGCTTATAACTTTTGGCCCAAACAAACAGGTTTACATAACCAGACACAAAGATCACGCAATAATGAAAATTAAACTAAATGTATTTCTCAAATTGATCCAGGAAGCAAATGCATTCTTAAAATTGTCCCTAATATTACTAATGGTGATACTAAGTCCACATTCTCCCCTAGTGCTTCCTAAAATTCTACTCTGTAAAAGGACCTGTCCAAACACATTCTCCCCTAGTGCTTCCTAAAATTCTACTCTGTAAAAGGACCTGTCCAAAAACATGAGTTTTATGATAAAATAAGTTTGGCTAATATTTTATCTTATTTTGTTAAAGAGTTACAAAGCACATTAACTAATTAAAGGTGCAGAAAATCTTATAATAAGGAAACATACTTAACTCTCTTTAAGCCAAGGTTTTCTACACTTGTGAAACATGGGAATCTTTTCTTGTTTTAACTAGGTATCCTATACTTCATCTGACATGGTGACATCCTGCTGAGACCACATTCTTTAAACGAACTCTAAGCATCAGTAGCCAGACTTAAAAACAACCAAACATTGTATTAGATCCTTAGATCTGAAGGTACATGTTTAGAAAAAAACAGCTTCAGTATGATAATCTGTTTTAAGATTTGCTGTTTCAATTGTCAGGGAATTCAGTTCTGAGTAGCACAGCTTCCCTAATGATGTAGGACAGATACCTCATCACTGCATTTACATTTCGACCATAAGATGAACGTTCACTAGCAGAGCATGTCAGGAAAAGTAGTGCTGTTACTGCATGCTACAGCTTGGTGATGGAAATTGTCCTAAACAATTGATAGGTTAAATGCAGGCTCTTGACAATCTCTCAGACAAATAATCATGCACTGAATAAGTGTTATGAAGAAGTAGATATAAACTCTAAACATGTATTTTTCAAGTTGCAGCCCACCTAAGTGACTTATTCAAGCACTCTGTGGCTTCTCCTACAAAATGTCCACCAGAAGCATTGACAAAGGAGTTCTTCAAAAAAAAATGGAGGTAAGCTAATCTGATCGTATGTTCTAGTTAGTGTTGGGCACATGACAAGGAAATGGAGGGATGTGGGAATTATATCTGTGACTGACTACAAGAATCCAGAGCCCTCCTCCTCCAATGCCTAGTGATGATTTTGTTCTAGTGTTTATAAGCTGGGAGCACAGCGTCCTTTCACCAGACGTTTTTTTTTTTTTCCTTTTTACACAGGGACACATCAACAGCAAAGCACTGGAAAGAGAGGCTGGAACAACAGAGGTAATTCTGCCCTGGTGTCGATGCGTGTGAAAAGGCCAGGGTTACAGAAGCTTAGAGTTGGATAGGCTACAGAGTCCCTACATCAGGGTCCCAGCTGTTGCTTGACTCCTGCAAGCCAAGGTTTCACTCAACTTCCATGGGTTGATGTCACCATCTCTTGAAGAATCCCATTTGGCCATTAGGTAGATCCTCTCCCTCTCCTGAGCAATAAAATGCCCCAGGCATTCTGTTCTTTTGGTAACTCTAATATATGCCTAAACATCCTGGGACTTGATCATAACACTCAAGAATTCATGCTATTCGCTTGAGGAATGTGTGCTGAGCACTGTGGTGTTTGCTCTTCTTTCAGTCCTAGCTTCAGGTTTCAACTCCAGCTCTTTTTCTACAAAGGAAATCAGACATATCTGTTGAGCATGCAGTAGTACGTGAGTGTTTCCTCTCAGAAAGAACATCTTCCTTAAGGTGTCAAGATTATCACTGGGGGAAATGGAAAGCTAAGACATATAAGCAGGGCTGGAGAGATGGCTCAGCAGTTAAGAGCCCTGGCTGCTCCTGCAGAGGACCCAGGTTCGGTTCCCAGCACCCACACGGCAGCTAACAATCTTTCGAAACTCCAGCTACAGGGGACCCGACACCCTCTTCTGACCTCTGTGGGCATTGCACAGCACAGGTGTACCGACATACATGCAGGCAATACACTCATACACATAAAAAATAAAAATAATAAAATATTTTTTAAAGACATGTAAGTAGGTTGTGAGTGCTTGTAAGGCCAGAGAAGAGGGAATATATGGTCCGTAGTGAAAGAACACCATCTTTTGCTTTACCCTTCTTAGGTTCATGGCTGAGATCCCTGAAACAAAAGCCAGACTGGTCCAAGATAAGAGTCTGAATTGATTTAACTTTTACATGAGATGAAAAATATCATGAAGAAGTGAAGACCAGAGAAAAGGCTGAACCTGGGCATCTGTATTCTAGGTTTTTGCTCAGGTTTTACAGTGTCCCTTCATCTGCAGAGATAAGAATGTTCCAGTCCTCTCTGGTGTAGGGAAGGATTCTCTTATATGAGGCTCTGATGAGCTGCTTCAGGGAAAAGCCAGAAAAATTCTTCTTAGGGTTTATGACCCAGAAATGATATCCAAGGGACTGCTGACAGAGACTGTCTATGGGGAACGAGACTGGGAGGTCAGGGGACATTGTAAGATGGAGATCTGCCTTTTTCTTTTTTTAATGTAATTTTAAATTTTATTACCAGTTCCCAAATTGCTACGTCTTATAAGACAACAGACATGAATAATAAGATGCAGAATATTATTTTGATCCAAAGTGACAAGATTATTATGTTGATTTTTTTATTAAGTTAGTTTTTTGAGAATTTCATACACACATAATATAATGCATTCTGGTTACACTTTTCCCCACATGCTGTCTTATCACCCCTACCAACCTCCCCCTCCCTATCTGTCCCTTTCCGAGATTCATGACTTCTGTTTTTTTGTGTGGTCCATCGGAGCCATCTGCATGTCTACAGATTGGGACAATGTACCGGAGCCTGGTGGGGTCATCAGCAGGTTCACAACTGAAGGCAATGATGCCCCTTTCTCTGAATCTTGTCTATGGGAAATAGGTCAGCAGGGAGGGGTAGGCCCCGTGAGTCCTTCCTCCATGCTTGTCTGGCTGTTGGTGGACCCATTCTTGTGCAGGCCCAGTACCACCATCCATAGCTGTTGAGAGTTCATGTATGTACTCTTTTAACATCTTTTAAATTCTACACTTACGTATTTTAAAAATATGAAATAGTCACAATTTTAAATTTAACTTGTGAGTACTTAAAACCAGTGATTGCGCGATGCAGAATTAAATATGTTTCATATAAAGAAAAATTCAGTCAGCATGGAAAATGTGTTGGGTATAAAGGAGAGGAAATTTTCAAGAATACAAATTCTACTAGTGTCAGGGACTGTGGAATAATCAAAAATGAGAGTAAGACAGCAGACCTTGGACTTATCCATTATGAGGTTTATTGATTCTTTTATAAGAACAATTTTAAGAGAGCCACGAGCAACCTCCAGGCTGCTCTGCAAGACGATGGACCCCAGAGTGGCAAGAGAGAGGTGTCTTAATAGGAAATAAAAGTTGTTTAAGTAAGATGGCTTACTGATTATACTTTCCTAGTACTTGAAAGCATGCAGTCTGTGTGAGAGGACCGGACTCAGAGTCAAAGTATCTAGAGACCATCACAGTGTGATTTCTTATGCATTCTGCTATGCCAGCTGGTTGCTTCATGTCAGGGATTCAGCTTGCTTGTCTATAAAATATGAAGATCAGTCTGCCAAGTACCTCGCTCCTTTCTGCTTTCACACTGGGTGACTGATGGCTGCTTAAAGGTGTAATTTTAGAGGCATGCAACCTGGATTTTAATGCAGACTCCACTCTGTGGTAATTATGATTAAAAACTCTCTATGCCTTGAGTTTTTTAACTAGAAAATGGAGACAGCAAGTCTTGCCTGATAACTTGAGTTTAGAGAGCATTCCCTGTGTGTTGCATTCTGTGTGTGTTGCCTCCTCAGTAGAGGTGTTCTGGTACTGGAAAGCCAACTAGCAGCCAATCATGTTGCCTCTTATTTTAGTTTGTAACAATCTCTCAGGTTTGGCTTTTGGGCTTGTTTTATTGTGTTGTGTGTTTGCCTCTAGCTGCTCCTTAAATTCCAGGAAACCGTACAATCTTAAAAAGTTCAACCATTGGAAGTCAGGTATGGTGGCACAATGCCTTTAATCCCATCACTCGGGAGGCAGAGACAGGTGGATCTCTGTGGGTTCAAGGCCAACCTTGTCTACATAGTGAGTTCCAAGCCAGCTGGGGCTACAGAGACCCTGTCTCATAAAAACCAAAAAAAAAAAAAAAATTGAGATCAACTGGTATCATTATTCCCTACATCAGACAAGAGTCTGATTTCCAAAGTCAGAAACATGACTGCGGAAGTAGAGTGAGCCAACGTAAGTTGACCTAAAAGAAAAAGGTCCAGCGAGTTTATCCTTCTCGGTTTCACTGTCAGTGACTCTGTTGGGTGAAATCTAGAGTTGCAAATGCAAGCAAATAATTTTTTTCTTTTTTTTGTATGTGTGCCATCTTTTTCATCATTATGGAAATATCAACCAGGAATGATATTAAGAGAACACAACAATATCTACTGGACATTAGGAACAAAGAAGTAACATCTTATTTTAAATCTGAATTGAGCCACTTATTTAAGTCTCAGGTAATTGAATATAATTAATAATAATTGAATTACTCTTATAAAATGATGTCTTGCATGTTAATATGTAAGGTATCTTTCCTAATTTTTACTGTTTCTCCACTGCATCAACCTGGCTGAATAAATGCTGCTCTTCACATCTGTATTCTCACAAGAAGCAGAGGATAGGGAAGCTCTTGCCAATGTATTGCTATCACCCCCTTCCCTCCTTGAGTTACTGACCCTTAGTTACCCTCTCTAGTCTCTTATAAGCTCTTTGGGCTCAATCCTCTCAGTTGATGACTAACCTCTGATAAACATCAATTTGCAGTTTTACTTATTAGAATTTCCTCACTCATCAGCTGTTAAGACACGATTAAGTTACTGTGAGTTTGTAGAAGCCAACAGATACAGGTTCCCCTCCTCCATGTGAGCCACTCCCAAGCTACACACCTAGGCTGCCCCTCACTCAGGAATTCACTGAAAATGCAAAGCAAAGTGAACGCTCTCGTGTGCTTACCATGCCCTGCTTTCCATGAAAATTCAAAATGCCACTAGTAGCCAAAGGCTACCTGAGAAGAAAGTCAGAAAATTCTGACTGGTTAACCGAGGCTAGAATTCAATTAGTGTCTTAGAGGATTTTAGTTTTCAGCTCCATCTTCAGGGCCATCATCACTGCTCGGCAACTTAACCTATCTGTGGCAGTTATCAAACGGAAGTGTGAGAATGAAATCAACCTTTTGGATTTTCTTTTAAGTATAATTATCTGGACAAGCTTTCCAAAAACCTGCCTCCTCTCACGAAGAAAGACGAAGATACAAGCAAAACAGCTGCTCAAGACACATCTCGGCTTCAGTTGGGTAATATGTTCATCTTATTCCTATTAACTGAACTGAATGGAAGGATACCCAGTAGTGACTCAACAGGCTGTAGCTAGCACATACCATCTTTTGTCCTAATGACAGCTGGGACAGAACTTGTTGCTACATGCATATATAAGTTATATATATAACTGAGTTATATAAGGAAAGCAAGATGGAAATTAAATTTTGGTCTCATTTCCTATACCCACAAATATTTAGAAGACCTGAGTAATTTAAGAATCAAAGGAATAATGAAGAGGTGTTGGGGAATAGGGCATTCACATGGTCTCAAAATAGCACATGCTTATTAATTACAGCAAGTAAAATAAATATACATGTACAATGGAGACATGGTATTTTCCATCTTAAGTAGTCAAACCTTTACCAAAGTAAGACAACCTGCACTGAAGGCTTTCTCATGTAATGCAATGTAAGGTACGTAAGAACTATATAGAATTCATGTCAAAAATCCTTAATCCTAGCGGGGGCTGGAGAGATGGCTTAGAGGCTAAGAGCCCTGGCTGCTCTTGTAGAGGTGCTGTCATCACAGTGTATTACCAAGAGGCCAAGGACTCCATTTCTACCTTTACCTGTTAATATTAAGTAAAGAGCAAATGTTTTCCAATCTTAAATGTACTCATTATTGTAACTCCAGTTCTAGGGGATTTGATGCCCTCTTCTGACTTACACAGGCATTGCATGACACAAGTGCACTTAAATGCATGCAGGCAATATCTCGTACACATAAAAAATGACAAAGCATTTTTTTTATTCTTAATCTGAATGTAACAAGATGAAACAATCGACAAATGTGTGCCAGCATGTACACAGTGTGAAAGACATTTGGCTTGGTCCTCTCTGAGGTGTTGTTCAGTGGTAGAGCACCTGCCGAGCAGGTGTGTAGCCCTGGATTCAGTCCCCAGCAGCACACACTCAAAGAAGGTATCATTAAAACAAACAAACAAAAAAGATAGAGGAATTGTTCTAGTTAAAAGGGACTAAATGACACAAAAACTACATGTAATAGATTGAGGGAAAAAAGTAGAAGTTTTATTAGGGGACTATAAGAGTATTGTGGAATTATTAATTTCTTAAGTATGGTGATGGTGTTGTGGATATGTAGAATGCCTACATTCTCAGCAGATGTGCGTGGAAATATTTAGCAATGAATTGAAACTTGGTGCTACTCTTTAATAAACTGAGTATTTAAAATACCCAGATAGGAGCCAGAGAGATGGCTCAGCAGTTAAGAGTACTGGCTGTTCTTGCAGAAGACCCAGGTTCAAATCCCAGCACCCACATGGCAGCTAACAACCGTCTGTAACTCCAGTTCCAGGTAATCCAACGCCCTCTTCTGTCCTCCATGGGCACTGTGCTACAAGGGTCCATTTACATACATGCAGACAATATACTCATACACATAAAATATTTTAAAGCTTTAAAAAATACCCAGATAGAAGAATTTTCTACTGCATTGTGTAACATCTACAGTTCATCTATCTATAATGAACATGGACAAAGAAGATGTATCATTCCAAACAGAACTCTCAAAGCTAGGAAAATCACGTGGAATTATGCTAAGAAATCAGGGATCATAAGTCAATGTTCCTGTGTTACCAGTCACACATGCTTCACCCTGAGAAGACGAGAGTAATCAATCACAGCCCACTCTTAATGAAAGGGCAGTAGGCTTTCAGCACACTACTGTGGCATCTACCACTAAGTATTCATCTGGGCTTGACACACAAATTGAAATATGTTTGCTTTCCCAATCATACATGTATTTAAAATTTGTTTCATATTCTGTTTCTTAAAGACATGTATATTTTTAAAGAGTTATTCATTTAAAAAATTTTTAAATAACAGATTTATTCATTTTTATTGTATGTGCATAAGTGTACCACCTACATGCAAGTACACCATATGCATGCAATGCCCAAGGAGGCCAGAAAAAGAGTGTCAGATCTCCTTGAACTGGAGTTACAGACAGTAACTGCCATGTGGGTGTTGGGAACTGAACTCAGTTCTTTAAAGAATAGGCAGTGCTCTTAGCCACTGAGCTATCTCTCCAGCCCCTAAGAACATATTTTAATAAAGAACCACATTGTTACAATAATGAGTACATTTAAGATGGGAAAACATTTTTGTTTAATTGTATTTTACTCAATATTAACAGGTAAAGGATTCCTTAGCCTCTTGGTGGTACAGTGTGATGACAGCTCTGTCTGATCATAGTGCCAAGAAGATCCAGTCGGCTCCTATGGAGTATACGTTTCTGTTTGTTAACAGCAAACATTGGATCATATTATGAGGAAGTTCCTAATGACATTCTTGTTGTTAGTCTTTCTCAAGAGGACAGGGACAGCGTCTGGCTTATTGAAAAACCATTGTTCAGTGTTATCTGTGTAAGTATTAGTCATTATCACATCATTGTCCATGACTTCTGCCCTTTATTTTGGGATCTTAGATTCTGAACTACCTGCAGTTGAAGAAAAAGAGCCCTCAAATTTGTCTCCTCTCCCAAAACGAGAAATTTCTGAGGAGTCTACTAAACAAAACAAAGCTGAAAATTTAACAAAACCTTCCAAGGAATCTGCTAGCCAAAATCAAATTGAAAATTTAACAAAATCTACCGAAGAGTATGCGAGTCAAAACCAAAGCGAAAAAATAACCTTCGAACCGACTGAAGGTATGGCCGTGGTTCGCCTCATCTCACTGTTTCACAAACTGAATGCTCTTATCGCTTCAGACTGTGGGAGATGACACCAGGCTGGGAGTATGAGGCCCTAGATCCTGGAGCTATGCAAATTTATAAGGTTTCTTAGTACACCAAAGTATCTCAGAAAATATTGTGATAGTATATACACATCTCAGCTTGAAAGGAGGACATTTAAAATACTTTTATATCTACTATTTATTTCATTATTTTATTTTATTTTATCCTTGATGGTTCTGAAACTTTGTATGATTCACTGAAAATCAAACACCTGACCTTTCTTTTTTTAAATATTTTATTTATTATTTTTATGTGTATGAGTGTTATGTCTGCATGTAAGTAAGTGCACCCATGTTGTGCAATGCCCATGGAGGACAAAAGAGGTTGTTGGATCCCCTGGAACTGGTGTTACTGACAGTTGTTAGCTGCCATGTGGGTGCTGGGATTTGAACCCGGGTCTTCTGCAAGAACAGTTGGTGTTCTTAACCGCTGAGCCATCTCTCCAGCCTATGACAACCTTTCTTGGGCAATCAATAATTCGGTGGTTGGACTTGGGCTTACCTATTATTTCAACACAACATTTTCTTGATCTGGAGAAATGTAAGATGTCAGCTCCAGATCACACAGCAGAATTGAAGTACAAAATAGTAAAAAGTCATATCTGGTTAAAGTGAAGTATATAGTACACGAATTTCACTAAAGTTCGTTTAACTAAATCTGGTTGATGACAGGACAGTGTAATCTAAACTGTGTGGATAACATTGATCGGTGCTCAATTCTTGTGGACATGCTTCTCTTTGAATGTGAGGACATGCTAATGAGTCTCTGTTATTCTTAGAGAACAAGTGTCTTGCCACATTTATGGGTGAATTAAGAAAGTTACTCTACATAAGACTTCTACTTCTGGGCATTTTTATTATTTTTTTTTAAATGTGTATGCATGTATTGCCTGCATGTATGTAAATGCACCCGTGTTGTGCAATGCCCACAGAGAACAGAAGAGGTCATCGGATCCCCTGGAACTGTAGTTACAGGTGGGTGCTGGGATTCAAACCTGGGTCTTCTGCAAGAACAGTCAGTGTTCTTAACCGCTGAGCCATCTCTCCAGCCCCCTACCTTCCTGGCTTTAAACTTCTCTTCTATATGATTTCCTAGTTCAGTGGAAAAGTCTCAGTGCCTTCTTTCTGTGCATTGTTCCAGGCATGGCAATACAATTGTCAAAAGGAACTGTATTCATTCTGGGCAAAGCTGGACAATAAGTAAGCAAACAAAGAAGTTAGATAAATTCATATTGTAATAAATGTTCTGATGTGATTCAACAGTATGATGTACGGGGAGTGGCTTAGAGGAAGCAGGCAACACAGGGGTCAGACTTCTTTGTGAAGAGATATTTGGATAGAATCAGGAAGGAGTCAGCCCTGTAAGCATAAGGAGGAAGGAATATTCCAGGCAGTGGGAAAAGCAGGAATGGAGGCTCAAGGGAAGAAATTCTTTTTCAATCTAAAAATATTTTTTATTTTTTTATTTTTTTAATTGAACATTTAAATTTTCATACATTTCCCACTTAAATCCAGACCACCTCCCCCCTTCCATGCCTCCCCCATCCCCCCACTGAATCCCATGCACTTTGCCATACATGCCGAGCCCTATTCATTCAGATGTTTGTACCCAAATGTCCTTCAGTGTAAATGCATCCACTGGAGTCTAGTCAGTCCATACAGGAGTTGTATGTAAGTCATACTCTCCCTCACCCAGGAGCAATCAGTCTCAAATAGTTCTCAATGTAGTGCTGGCCGGCCACCTATTTCTCACCTCCCCTTTGGGCCCTTGTTTCACTTAGCTGACATGGGTCCCCTACTTGATGCCACTGCTGCCACAGGCTCACATGAGCAAGCCTCCAGTGGCCTGGAAGACTCCACCTCCCCGTGTTCATGAACCAGCCCTGACTCTTGCAATCTTTCTGCCTCTTCTTCTGCACTGGTCCCTGAGCCAAAAGGGAAGAAATTTTTAAAGCATGTAGATCGAGTATGTATATATATAAACATGTATGTAGCGTATGTGTATGCACATGTAGAGGCTATTTATGTGTACGTAGTGTATGTGGATGCACATGTAGAGGCTATTTATGTGTATGTAGTGTATGTGGATGCACATGTAGAGGCTAGAGGTCAACATCAGGTGTCAATCTCTCACCACCTTATTTCTTTGAGACAGAGGTTCTCGCTGAACCTAGAGATCACTGATCTGGCTAGACTGGCCAGCAAGCCCAGGGGTCTTCCTGTCTCTATCTCCCCAGCACTGGAATTTCGGGCACATGCTCTCATGCCCCGTTTGTTACATTGGTGCTGAGGATCCAAACTCAGGTCCTCGTGTTGTGCCACAAACCATCTCCCCAGCCCTGTCTAATTTATATTTTTAAGAGATTACTTTGACGTCCAGCTTAGTGTGAGGGCGGCAGGAAATAACAGAGGTATCAAGGGTGAGAGTTAACAAAGACCTGGACTAACACGGCTGAAGGAGGATGGTGAGAAGCCACAGGCTAAGGAGATGGCCCGGCTGTTAAAACACTTGCCATGCGAGCATGAAGACCAGTGTTTGATCATCCAGAACCCATGTATGGAAAGCTGCATGTGGCAGCTCACGCTTATAATCCCAGTACTATGAAGGCAGGGACAGGAAGATCCCTAGGGTTTGCTTGGCCGGCCAGTCTAGCCCAGTTGGTGAGCCCCAGTGCACTGAGAGACCCTGTCTCCAAAAGTAATGCAGAGAGAAAGTGAGGAAGGTAATGCCAACCTCTGGCCTCTGCACACCCATTCACATGCATCTACATACACACATGTATACACACAGGAACATGTACAAATACATACATCCCACACATGAAAGTGGGATGGTAAGAAGCCATCTTAGAAAGATCAGTTAGAGGTAGAACCAGTAGACCTGGTAAATTAGATGTGTATATGGGAAAAAAAGGGGGAATCAGCGTTGATTCCAAAGTTAACTTATATGACCAGTTGCAAGAAAAAGAATTTGTAGTTCTGGCAAGTTCCCAGGTTGCTGGTATAAAATCATGTTCTGAGAAGCAGCACACTAAGGCAAACTGTAGAAAGTAAAGTCAGACAGAGAAGGGGCTGATAAAGGCAGTTAATAAGAAACCAGTGGGGTGAGAACAAAACTTAAGTGTGGAAATCACCAAGTGCTCTGAGTGACAAAATGTTTCTGGTGTGATAGAGGAGCATCTGGGGGCTTGTGCAAGGTGAATATCATTGGGAAGATCAACAACGCAGTGGCAGAACACGGAGGAGACCAAAACCCAGTTGGGTGGATGGCTCATGAGTTAGCCCCAAAAGGATGGAGCAGCAAGAACACACAGCTTCACGCAGGGTTTGGCTGAAAAACCTTGAGAAACGGGATTTCAGATGTAGGAGGTGATTTGCAAATGAAAACATTATAGTAGAGAACTTAATCATTCAGGAAATTGTAGAACGAAGACTTTACGGAAGGTGAGAGAACATGACATCTGGGGCAAACCTTGAGTGGCAGAGTTGACCTTGGATCTGAGAGGGTCACCTTCTCCATGGTGGCAGGGAAAAATGGGTCTATGGAGACATTTTCAGATGTACCTGATAGTTTTGGTATTGGGAAGTGAGAGTGTCTATCTAGTTGCAAAGAAATGGACATAATGACAGTCTGAAAGTTATTCCAGATATACAGGAAAGCAGAACAGGAATGGAGTGGCTGGCTGTAAGGTGATGGTGTTTGTTAAGTGCCTTAAGATTTAAGAGCTTGAGGTTCCTAAGACAGCTTTCATCCTTCTTGTGAGAACTGAGCCTGGATAACGCAAAGGCCATCTACTTTTTTTTAGACAGGGTCTCCCACTGGCCTAGAACTCACTAGTGAGTTCTGGTGACCTGCTTCTCTATCTCCTCAGCAGTGGGATTCCAAGTGCACCACCGTGCCTGGCTTTTTTCCCCTGTAGGCTCTGAGTTCATCCTCAGCTCCTCAAGGCTTGCAGGGGAAACATTTCATTGACTGAGCTATCTGCCCAAGCCCCCCGGTTATGTTATTGAACTGCTATATTTCTTCTAGTTCTTCTGCTGAACAGAAATAATAGTATACTTGTGGGTATATGTATAAGAGAGGTGTGAAAACTAGGACATGAAAACTCGGACGTGAAATGCAGCACGTGACCCAAGGTAAATTCCTTCTCCGTGTTATCTGTTAGCAGAAGTAGCAGTCTGAACAGCTGATTAGCACCCACTGCATATGCCAGGGCACATCAGGCCTCTAGAATGGCTGCTTCCATGAAGAGCAGTGACCAAAGGAGATAAAGATATCATAACACTGACCACTGAGCTCCATCTCCAGGGACTCTGCTTGTTTTGATTGAGAACAGGGCCTGTTTAGGGCCCAGGAAGCTGTTTTTCCTGAAGCAATACTGGAGAGGATGGTACCCAAAGGGGTCTGGGGCTCCATGGATTCTGACACGCTGGGATTCACATTCCAGTCCTGATGTTAATTACAACTTCGGTTTTCCTCACTTTAAAAAAAAAAAAGTACAATTGCTATTTTCAACTTTTTTAATGAGAGTGCTCAAAATCAATAAAAAGGGGGAGAGTTACTGGATTTATTCAGGCTCAAAAGCAAACCAGAGAAGAAGCTTTGGGGCCAGCCCCAAGGATGACTGGCCTCAGGTTCCCAGGCTTTCCCCTGAGTGCATGCCTGATGGCCTATTTATCTCCACAGCCTCCCTCCCTCTTGTCTTCATGTGGTCTTATTCTCTCCCACAATGGGCAGGCTACTTACATGTGGCAGGGATAGTGATCCCAGAGGCCCAAGATTCCAATCCTTCCAGTTCCATAACTCAATAGGCAAATGGTGTGATCCCTGTCAGCTTTGGCAAAAATTACCCAGGGGCAGCCCTTATGGATTAACTTGGGAACCCTGCTGTCCTGATAGCACAGAACAGAATATTGTGGACCCAGATGTTTATGGGACAGTGCAAGTGGAGGGAGGGAGGGATAGCTAGCACACTGAGCATACCATT